GTAGTAAGTAGTAGTAGTAGTAGTAGTAGTAGTAGTGGTAGTAGTAGTAGTAGTAGTAGTAGTAGTAGTAGTAGTAGTAGTAGTAGTAGTAGTAGTAGTAGTAGTAGTAGTAGTAGTAGTAGTAGTAGTAGTAGTAGTAGCAAACATACTCATGATCATAATAATGTTAATACTAAGAATACTAACAATAATAATGATGATAATACTAGTATGCATATCCAGAATAATCATAAGGACCATACGAATCATACGAATCATAATAATCACAATAATCATGGCGACAATACTACTAATAAGAAGGATCATAGTAATAATAGACAGAAGAAGAATAGCAATACTAACAATAATACTAATTATAAAAATGAGAAGGCTACTACGAATCATAAGAATCATACACATAATAAGAACATCAAGAATAATATTAATATAAATGAGAAACAGAGTAATACTAATACTAGCAACAATAACAAGAATAATAATATCCATACTCAGAATACTAAGAAGAAGAAAAATATGAATACGAAACACAATAATAATACTAAGACGACGAATACTGATACGAAGATTAAGAGTAATAAGAAGAGGAGGAGGGGAAGTAGGAGGAGAGGGTAGAGCAGGAGGAGGAGGAGGATATGGAGGAGAAGGGGAGGAGGGGGGTGAGGAAGAGAGGAGGAAGGGAGGAGGAAGGGAGGAGGAGAAGGAGGAGGAGGAAGAGGAGGAGGAGGAGGAGCAGGAAGAAGAAGAAGAAGAATATGGGAGGGAGGGGGGGAGGGAGGGAGGGAGGGAGCTGTGAAGAACCACGTCCCAAGCTTCAGGGGCAAGACGGCCTCCGCGGCCAACAGGGAGAAGCTGCTGCCGCCGCCTGCGCTTGCGGGAGAACGGAGGCACGGGCAAAGGCAGCTGGCTCCTCCCGCGCCAGCCAGACGACCCCCGCCAGCCCGACCCGCATTTCTGCGGCAACCTGAAGCGGCGCCTCTGCATCCCAGTCTGCCCGCCTGGCTCACGCTGCCAGCGCCGCCGCCAGGACGGCAGCCTGTGCAACGAGCTCCTGGACCCGCACGGCTGGCATGCAGTGAAGTGCGAGATGGGTGAGTCCCGCAACAAACGCCACAACAGCTGCCGCGACTGGCACTCTGCGAAGCACGCCGAGCTCACCGGCTTCGCCGCGCCCACGGAGCAATCCGCTCCCGCCTGGGATCGCCGACACCCGCGCACGGGAGTGCTCCAGCAAACGGTTCTGGACCTCTCCACCAACGACCCAGCCACCGGACGCCACGTCTACGTCGACTGGAGCGTCGCCTGCGTACACTCAACCTACGCTCCACGCAGGGGTGCCCGGGCCGACAAGGATGGCTTGGCGGCCGCCCAGGCGGTGGACCAGGAGCGGGAGCGGTACCCCCCGCACGGGGGCAAGCTGGTCCTCCTAGTCTTCGAGACGGGGGGCCGGCCCAGCGACGCAGCAGCCAGCTTCGTCCGCAGCTACGGAGTCGGCCTCGCCGACGGCGACCGCTCCGAGCTGCTGGGCGGCCTCTGGCGGAAGATCAGCAGAACCTTCCAAAGGGGTAGTGCCGAGATGCTGCTGAGCGCGCTCGGGCGCTAGGCCGGCGGCCCCTTGGCACGGCCACCGCCAGCTGAACCACCGCCGGCGCGGCAACCACCACGACCGCCACCAGCGCCGCGACCGCAACCGCCACCAGCGCGACAACCACTGCCGCCAGCACCAGCACCACGACGACGACCCTAAGCACGACAACCGCCACGACCGCCAACACCACGACCACGACCATCGCCGGTACGACAACCACCGCGGACACCGCCAGCTATCACCACGACCACGACCACCACCAACACGACAGCGCCGCGACCACGACCACCACCGCCACCGACCCGACCGCCCCCGCCCACGGCCGCCCCTCTCCTTTCCTCTCCCCAGCCCTGCCGGGCCGCCCCTGCTGCCGCACGCGCCTTGCGCTTCCCCCTTTTCCTCCTCCTCCTCCTCCTCCCTCTTCCGCCTGCTGCTGACTTTCCTAGTGGCCTCCCGTGGCCTGGGTCAGGGGCGTGTCGCCCGCAGGCACGGTGAGGCTTTTCATCCACGCTCTGGGACGGCCCTCACACGCCTAGCCGTGGTGGCCACCCACTCCAAAGGTCACTGGGTGCCGCGGCGGCGGAGCAAGGGAGGGAGGGAGGGAGGGAGGAGGAAGAAAAGGAGGAGAAGGAGGGAGGGGGAGAGAGGAGGAGGGAGGGGGAGAAAGAAGAGGAGGGAGGAAGGGAGGAATGATAAGAAGGGAGGAGGAAGGAGGAGGAGGAGGAGGAGGAGGAGAAGGAGGGAGGAGGAGAAGGGGAAGGGACAGGAAGGAGGAGGAGCGTGCGTTGGTTACGCCAGCGCCCAACGGTATCCTAATCAGGAGGAGGAGGAGGACGAGGAGCTGGAGGAGGAGGAGGTGGAGGAGGAGGGGGAGGAGGAGGAGTCTCGATCGTCAGGATGTTCCGCGATCGCGCTGATCGGGATCAGGGCGCTCTGTTGACAGGGTTCCGCCAGACCTGGTTCTGGAAGCGACTACGTATGTGCATCACGACCACGCTGCTGCCTTTCTTTCCCGCCTGCCCTCGCAACTCGTCCCGCGGCCCCACCTGCGGCGTCCTCGTCGGCGACGGCTGCAGTCCCAAGATCCGACGCCGTGAAACATAAGGCACTGCAGCCGGGGCACTCGGCGGCACTTCCTCGAGCCGGGACGATCCGTGCGGTCCCGGGGCCCGCGGCGGGGCAAGAGCGGCGTGTGTGTGGGGGCACGACGCCCAGACCTGATGTCCCTGGAGGTCTCCAACGGAGGAGGAGTTGGAGGAGGAGGAGGAGGAGGAGGAGGAGGAGGAGAAGGAGGAGCAGGAGCAGGAGGAGGAGGAGGAGGAGGAGGAGGAGGAGGAGGGCCCAGGCCTCCGAAATGAGGCCCGAGAAGCATAGGGCCGGAGGATGGATCCGCATCGGCGGTGCGGCTCGATGAAGAGCCCAGGTTGCTCCATGGCGGCGGCGCCGACGAATCGCCGATGTTGTCGCAGCATCGGCGGTGCGGCGCGATCCCCTGGCTCTATCTGCTCGGACCCTATGCGGGTTGCCTCCAGAGGAGGAGGAGGAAGAGGAGGAGGATGAGGAGGAGGATGAGGAGGACGAGGAGTAGGAGGTGAAGAGGATGAGGGGAACACTCCAACCTAGACGTTAAGTTTACCCAACGTAAAAGGTGAGGAGGATTGGGGTGTTCGACGTCCCGATCTCAATGGATCGAGATCGGCATCCCAGATTTCGGCGTCTGGGATTTTTCGATGCGTGGCGCCAGGATTTCCCGACGCCTGTGCCGGAGGCTGTTTTTTCGTGTTGGATCGGTTTCTGAGGGTCGATGGGGCCCGCCTGAAGTTCAATTGTTTCCACCTCGAAATCGAAACGTCAGAGGCTTGGGACATGTCTTGGCGCGCGTCCCGACCAGACCCTCGAGGTAGATCTTGAGGCTTAGAAGAGGCCGAGAACGTTTCAACAGATTGGATCGTCGACGCCCGATCATCGACGTTGGAGGTCTGGGAACGGGATCTCAAGACCGCCCCAATGGGGCCAAAGCAGGGGTCGGAGGATCCCTCGATGCGGCGCAATCCAGAGCCTGATTTTTATCCAGCCCGGCGTCACCAGTGCATGGCCCATGCATCGGCGATGCGATGCGATTCTCCGACTCCACCTGTCCGCCATAATGGGGCGGCTTCCAGGGTGAGCTAAGTATGGTAAGAGTAGGAAAAGGAGGGGTAAGTGGAGGAGGAGGAGGAGGAGGACAAGGATGAGGAGGATGAGGAGGAGGAGGAGGAGTAGGAGGAGGAGGAGGAGGAGGAGGAGGAGGAGAATGAGGAGGAGGAGGAGGAGGAGGAGGAGGAAGAGGAGGGGGCAAGAGTAGGATTTTTACTCCACGGCGATGGCGCCGACGAGTCGCCAATGGCGTCGATGCATCGCCGAGATCTTCCTCCGCCGCGCTGGGAGGGCCGGCGGGCCGGGCGACGGCAATCGGCCCGGCCGGGCGCCCTTGCGAGGCCTCGCCGCCGGCAGGCGCGGGCGCCGCTGCCGCGGAGGCGCCCATGGGCGGAAGCTCGGAGCATGCCGAGCCTGTACTCTAGACCTAGATCGGGGCGTATGTTTGCCTATGTTTTTCGCACGTGCTATTGCCCCCATGTTTGCCCCTGCTTTTTGCATGTGCTCGCACCCTCCCCTCTCCGCAGCTTTGATCGGACCAGCCAGAGCCCGACCAGGGCGACGGTGCCATCTGTGATTTTGCAGGCATTTGGCGGCGAGCAGAAGGGGGTAGGGGGAGGGGGGAAGGCTTCTTAGAAGGAGGCTGCTTCTTAGAAGGCGCTGGCCTTACATCTACAGAGAAGGCCCGCACCTTCTAAGAAGCAGGGGTTCTTCTAAGAAGCCTTCCCCCTCCCCCTACCCCCCTCTGCGCGCCGCCAAGGCATAGCGTTTGAGAAAACATCCATCTCAGGCAGAGTGCGGAAGCTCGGAGGATGCCGAGCCCGTGCTCTAGACCTAGATCGGGGCTGAAGAGACGGGGGTCGATGCAAAGGGGGGTCCGTCAGAGCGCAGGATCATGTACGATCCTGCAGAGCGAGGGTTGCATTGACCCGGGCTTGGGTGCGGGATCCTGCAGGATTTTGCAGGATCTTGCAATGCCTGACTGCCCCAGGTTTGATAGACCTGGGTCGGTAAAACCCTACTAGATGTGGTCTGGGCAGAAAGAGTCGGAGGATCGCGCCGCATCGCCGATGCATCGACGATGCGGCTTGATGTGGAGCCCGTGTTTCCCAACGTCGACGTTGATGCATTGCAGACGTCGCAGACGCATCGCCGATGCATCGCCGACACATTGGCGGTGCATTGGCGATGTGGTGCGATCCTCCGACCCTATCTACTCGGACCCCATCTAGGAGTCCTCTACGTGCAGAGTAAGTCCGTTCCCAGACCCCCTCGGGTCATGAACAAATCACGGCGGGAGGTTTTTCTGTGTATTCAACTTACTGGGGTCCTCGCCGGGTCCCAGGAACGTTCTAAACCGACTCTGGATGAAAAGCTGGTCCCGGGGAAGGGGTCCAGACCTCTGGGAGTCGACGTTACGAACAAGTCATGACGTCGGGGGTCTGGGTACACGAAGTGTTTATGAATTTCTTACCCGTGTAGCGCACGGCGGGACGCCAAGCATCCATAGAGCAAGCTTGAAGTTTCAGCTTTAAGCTTGAACTTGAAGCTGTAGATCTGGTCTGTCTGGTCCGGTTGGACTGGTTTGAGCTTAGTGCTGGAGCCTTAGCTTAGGATTCGGGCGAGAGTGGTTTTGGGGAGTTCATGGAGGCAGCGCCAACCATTTCGACCGCCGAAAAGCAGTGCAGTTGTTTTGTTGCATTGCAGTTGTTTTGCTTTGCAGTGTGTTTTGCATTGCAGTTTTTCCTGCATCTGGTCTGGCTGGTCTGGTTGGTCTGGTTTGAGCTTAGTGTTGGAGCCTTAGCTTATGATTCGGGCGAGAGTAGTTTGGAGAAGGTCCAGGGAGGCTGGCTGGTCTGGTTGGTCTGGTTTGAGCTTAGTGCTGGAGGTTTAGCTTAGGATTCGGGCGAGAGTGGTTTGGGGGAGGTCCAGGGAGGCAGCGCCAACCACTACGACCACCGACAAGCAGTTGTTTTGTTGCATTGCAGTTTGTTTTGTTTTTCAGTTGTTGTTTGCAGTGCAGTCTGTTTTGCATATGGTCTGGTCTGGTTCATCTATTGGCTGGTCCGGTTGGTCTACCTGGTTGGTCTGACTGGACGGTCGGGCTAGTCTTCTTGGTCGTCGCCGTAGTCCTCGTCCTCGCTCTCGTCTTCCTCGTCGTCGTCGTCGTCGTCGTCGTCGTCGTCGTCGTCGTCGTCGTCGTCGTCGTCATCGTCCTGCCCCTTGCGTCGCCGCAGCCGGGGCTGGAACGAAAGCGCTGCTGCGTCAAGTCCAGCTGCAGCGGAAAGGGAGGTGGGAAGGGAGGGAGCATCAGCAACCATATCGGTTCTTTTGTCCCAAAAAGTAAAGTAAGGCGCTGGGGAATAAGAATTGATTGGCCTCGAGCGGCTTAGAATAGTCTCCGTGCGGGCCTACTTCGTCTGGATTTGGCATCTCCTAGCATGATGCTATCACCCAGACATGCGACGTCCTGATTCTTCAATGCGCGACCCCCGGAAGAAATCTCGACCCCGTCATCGGGACCGGCTGCTCATCCCGAGTCGTTTTTTGATGCTCCCGGGGCCCGGCGAGGGCCCCCAGCGAGGCAGAAAACGAGGAAAGACCTGCGGCCCTGACCTCCTCACGACGCGAGCCTGTCTGGGCGGCTCGGCATCCGTCTGGGCCTCGTCCGCACGGACTGGGCCTCTCCCGAGGAAGCGCGCGCCCGCCGCGCCCAAGGGCGGGGCCCGCGGCGCGGCCGCCGCGGCCGCCGCCAGGGAGCTCCGGGCCGCGCTCCCGCGGCTGTGGCGGAGGCTGCGCGGCCCGGGCCAGGGCGCGGCCGCGAGCGGCGGCGTGTGCAAGGCGACCGCCTCCCCGGAGGCCCGAGAGTTTGCTCTTGGCACCGCTCGGGCGTGTGCCTGTGCTCCTCGGCGAGGGCCGTCGAGGAGGAGGAGGAGGAGGAGGAGGAGGAGGCGGAGGAGGCGGAGGCGGAGGAGGAGGAGGAGGAGGAGGAGGAGGAGGAGGAGGAGGAGGAGGAGGAGGAGGAGGAGGAGGAGGAGGAGGAGGAGGAGAGGGAGGAGGAGATGGAGGAGGAGGAGGGGAGGGAGAGCATCTGGGATCAACTCGCGAAAAGTGCGCGCGCGGACGCGAAGGGTGCACAGGGAATGGCCGTCCGAGCGATGGCGAGCTCGAGGCCTGCTTGAGGCCCCGTCCCCTGCGGCCCCGTCTTCCGTCGGGGGAGCGGCCTCGAGCATCCCAGGTGTCGGGTCGTTGCCTCCAGCGCCAGGTCAGAGTGGATGCCAGCTCGCCCAGGCTCTCTTTGTCACGCAGAGGCCCGCCGAGACGGCGTCAGGCACCCCCCTCCCTGTCTCTTCGCCTCCTCGTCTCTCCTCCTCCTCCTCCTCCTCCTCCTCCTCCTCCTCCTCACCGAAGAGGGCGGCCCCCGGAGAACAGGCCGCCCCCAAAAAGAATTGTCTGTGCAAGGTAGCCATCTCGGAGGCCTCCCCAGACGCGACATCTCTCCAGACGTCCGGCGTGTGAGGACCAACGGGGCGGAGGTGTTTTTGCTCGTCGCTTGCGGCCTCTCGGGGCCCCTGCTGGGCCTCAGGACCGTCAGAAGTCGTTTCGGGATGAGCTGGTCCCTGGGAAGTGGTCCAGAGGTCGGGAGCCCGCGTCTCGAAACCATCGAGGCGCCCGATGTCTCAGATGCTCCTTGGCTCGTGCTGGCCATCGCTGGCCGAAGGTTGGCCGCGATCGGCTGGGGCCCGCCAGGGCCAGCTCCCTCCCCGCTGCGGGGACGCTGGTCGAGACGACGGATGTCTGGGAATGCGCGGTCCCTGGAAGTCCCGACCCCTTTCCCAAGCCTTTTTGCATAGTCCCAGGGCTCAGAGAGGGCCCCGAGAGGCCGAAACCGGCCAACAAAAACCTCCCGGCATAAAACCAGCACGACGTGAACATGCATGTCAGGGCCTCGAGTGGGGCTACAGAGCGGATGCCTGCCCAGGGATCCAGACCTTGCATTTTTGCTCACGCCTGGCGCGTGTCGCACGGTGTCTGGCCCCGGGCCATCACTTCCTCCTCCTCCTCCTCCCCCTCCTCCTCCTCCTCCTCCTCCTCCTCCTCCTCCTCCTCCTCCTCCTCCTCCTCCTCCTCCCGGCAGGGGCCCTCTTGGCCTCCAAGATGGGGTCCGAGCAGGTGGGGTCGAAGGATCGCTCCACATCGCCGGTGCATCGGCGACGCGGCTCGATGCGGAGCCCGATTTTCTCCGCGCTGGCGTCGCCGATGCATCGCTGATTGCGCCGATGCATCGCCGACGCATCGGCGATGTGTCGCCGATGTAGCGGCGATGCGGCGCGATCTTCCGACCCCTCTACTCCGACCCCATTTGGGACTCCTAGACTAGGAGGCCTCGATGGGCCTCCTAGTCTAGGAAAACCCAGAGGCCTCCTGCGACGGCCCAGGGTTTCGAGGCCTCCTTGACTAGGAGGCCTCGAAACCCTGGGCCTTTGCGGAAGGCCTCATGGAGAGCCTCCGGGGGCCTCCAGGCGCCCAGGCCGCAGAGACCTCCGGTGTCGCATGCTGGTCGGTGCCGGCGTTTGTCGCTTGGTGCGGGCCCGTTGCTGGCACCCGGGCAGTGGCAGAAGCAATCAGGGATTGGAAAGATCAGGGGAGCGAATATTGGCAAAAACACAAAAACTCGGAGGTCCCCGCGGATTTCTCGGATCCGCGCTGGATCCCCTTGGCGGCGCCTCCGGCGCCGCCCCTGGCGCGCTCCGCGCGCCAGGGAGGGGGGTCCAGCGCCGATCCGAGAGTCCGCGCGGACATGTCATCTGTCGTTCCCTTGAATATTGCCAGAATGGATGGACGGAGTCCGAGGAAAGATCCTGGGGCGCACGCTGAACACGTCGAAGGCATCGCAAGTCCGGGGGTGGGCGGGAGGGGCTGAGGTAGCAAGTTTTTGGAGGCTTCTCGATTTGCGTGCCTCGGAATATTCAGGCCCGATGTTGTCGTCGGCGCATAACGCCAGAATGGATGGAGCGGGTCCGAAGGAAGGTCCGGGGGGCGCGCGCTGAAAACATCTGAATTTAGGCATCGCAAGTTGTGGGGCGCTGACGTAGCAAGTGTTGGGAGGCTCTCGGACGTGGGTGCCGCCAGATTTTGGAGGCTCTCGGATGTGGGTGCCTCAGCAAAATGTTGAGGCCCGACGTTTCTTTGGGCGCATACTGCCATCGAGAACACGCGCGCGCACGTTTGAGCTGCGCTGTGCGCGGGCAGATTCCGCGCCCGCGTCTGGTCTCTGCGCCGGCGGGTGAGCCGTGCGCGCGGGCCGCCTCCCTCTTTCTTGCTCCTCGCGGCGCGCGGTTCCACGAGAAGGGTTCGCGCGCGCGTTCGCCGCTTGCGCGTCTGCCTGCGTCGCCTCGCTCGCTTCGCGCAGGCGCGCCGCGGGGATCCCGTCTGAGCGGGTCGCGGCGCGCATCGGGGTCGTGCGCGCTGCAGGCGTGGGCGCTCGCGCTCTTCCGACGCGGAGAGCGCGCGCGTTTTCGCTGGCTTGTCAAGCCGGCTTGTCATGTTGACGGTCTTCTTGCAAGCGGATTCCGTGACGCGCCTTCTCGCCGCGCCGAATGGGCGTTTCGTAAGCGCGGCGCGTTCTTGCTCACGGCGCCTCTGTTCATTCGGATAGACGCAGTACGCGCGCTGCTGAAGCTAGCGAGTGTGCGGCACAAGTTTGCCGTTTTCGTGCAGTTTCTGCTTGTCTTATGATGTCCCAACTTACTTCAGCCTTGATCACCAGAAAGAATTTCGAGCACCTGAAACAAAAACACACACACAGAGAGATAGATATAAACTCTAGGGTTTTCACGTGTCGGGCCCTGGGAGACACTCGTCCGACACTGTTCCGGCACTCTTTCGACACTTTTCGAGGTGCTTGAAATTAGTTCTGGGATGTGGTCCTTAAGTACGCTGGAAGCTACCTAATGCTTGTCACGTACGTGTTTCTCTTGCGCCTCCCTTCCGCGGCCTTGACTACTTCGCCATTCTGCGCGACGGCCTCTTGCGGTTCACACCTGGCGCGTCGCAGGAACAAGGCAATCCCGCGCCGTGCTGCAAGGGGCGTGCCGGTGTGTCCGCTGCACCATGACGCCCGCACACTTTGCCAAGTGGCTGCGGGTACCTTCGGGCGCCTAGGTCGCAGGGGCAGCGGGAACTTGTGTGTTGGGGACCCTTGCGCTCAAGGATTCTGGATTCGTTCAAAAACAAGACGTTTCGCTCCTAGAAGGCACTTGCAGCGACGCGATGCGATTCGAAACGGTGTTTTGTCATAAGCATGCGGAAGCTAGATACGCTGGACACCGCATGTGCAAGCGAAGCGTTATCCTCGCCATTCCCTTGTCCCTCCCCTTGGCTCTTCGGGGTACATCGCCCGTTTTTCCCGTCCCCGGCCCCCCCCCCCCAGCACTTGTTTCCTCCCTCCCCGTTTTGGGTTTTGTTCGCCCCCCACCGCCCCCCCCCCCCCCCATGCCGTCCCCACCTTGGTCTGCGGCACCTCCTGGGCCCCGTCCGTCCACCCGTGCAGACGACAACACCCAGGAGCCGCGCCCAACGAAATCGGAATCGATGATGACGACGACGCCCGACGGCACCCAAAGGTTTCTGCAGGCCATTGGAGGTCCCAAGACGTCGTGGGAGGCCTCCAGAGGGCCCTGCAGGCCCACGAAGGGCAAAAAAACACAGATCAGGCAGGCTTCGCCATCTGCACGAGGGGTTCCAGATAGGGCCTCGCCTTCGAAGGTCGAAGGAGTTGCCATGTCTTCCTCGGCGGAGGGCGGTGGAAGGCGGCGGACGAAAGAACCGAGGGCGGCACCGCCGGCGGAAGCCGGCCGAAACCGGTGGAAGTAAAAGTCGGTTTCCCAAGAGATGGCAGGGGTTTTGAGTTCAGGGTCTCGGGAATCGGCCACTTATCGATCGAGCAAGACGTCAGCGGTGCCGCACTGGGGCAGGGACGGGTCAACTGCGCCGCTGCGTGGGCAGATAAGCGCAGCGCAGAGCGCCGGCCAAGGAGGAGGAGGAGGAGGAGGAGGAGGAGGAGGAGGAGGAGAAGGAGGAGGAGAAGGGAGAGGGACATGCGCCCCTGATCCTTCGTGCGCTGCTGAACATAGCTGGCTCGACAAGGAGAACGCCCCTTTCCCCTCCCACCATTCCACCTCCGAGTCGACGACGTCAACGCCCAACGGCCTCTGAAGGTCCCGGAAGACAACAGGCAACAAACAATCATAATAACCTCGATCGTCGATCGACCGACAAAGGCGGCGAGGGAGGAGCAGAGGAAGAAGGAGAGGAGGAGGATGACGAATTAGGATGAGTGGAGGAGGGGAAGGTGGAGGGGGAAGGGGAAGGAGGAGGGGAGCAGGAGGAGCAGAAATGCAGGGAGGACGGGGCGAGGGGCACGAGGACGGGGCGATGGAGGGCGGGGAGGAGGTGGAGGAGGAGGAGGAGGAAGAGGAGGAGGATGAGAAACCGAGGCTCATCGTGATCCTCCGTCATTCTTGGTTCCTTGATCCTGACCTGGCAGGGTGCGAGGGCGCAGCGATCGTGCAATACTAGTGTCCGAGCAGCGACAAAGAGGGGAAGCGGGAGAGGCGACGCTCGGGGGCGGCCAAGAAGGGGTGGTGCCCAGTGGCCAAGAGGGTGGATACCATGCCTGGGGCCATGACGTCTCCCCGGATTTCACGGCCCCCGCTTCTTCTACCAGCACGTCCTTTGTCAAGCAGTGGTGAGGCGTCTGGGCATGCCATGGGCCCACCAAATAATGTTGTCAGAGCCTTCTGCGGCTTGCTCGAAATGTGATTAGAACACCTCTTGGCTAACACCGTCTTGCTTTCACTCACCGGCTTAATGCTCTAAGAACATGGGAGTCGTGCTTGGAGCATTTTGTTGTCCTAAGAACATTGTTCTTGGTCGGCCTACAGGAACACCAGGGCGGTCGGTCCCTGCTCAACCCTGATCCCTTCTGGGTCGCGCACTGCACGTGCCTCGGGGCTTCGTTGGCGAAGCACCCCCTCTTGGACGTCCCGCCTGTCCCCCCCATCAAGATGAAGGGCCCCCTCCTTCCAGGTGAGGCGCTCCTTCTCTCCAGGTGGAGGGGCCCCCCCCTTCCCCCCCCAGGGGCTGCACCCAAGCATTGTTCTGGCAATTTCGTGAGCTGTTTTCGTTTCGATTTCGCTCTGCAGCAAAATGGGCGCGGAGCGAAGGAGCAACAAGGGCGCACGCAAGCAAAACGAAAACGAACAACACTGCTTAGGTCGAGCACACCCCCCCCTTCCCTCTTGATCGCCCCGCTCCCCCCCCCCCCCATCCAGGTAAAGTGCTCCCTCGCGCAGCTCCGCGCCGCGCTCCGGGCGCGGAGGGGGCCCTGCACGGGGCGGTCCACGCCGCCGCCGCTGCCGCCTGCCCCCGGGCGATTGAGGATCGAGATTCCAGCAGGCTCTTGGCTTCCTCCTCCTCCTCCTCCTCCTCCTCCTCCTCCTCCTCCTCCTCCTCCTCCTCCTCTTACTCCTCCTCCGCCTCCTTCTCCCTCTCCTCCTTCTCCTCTTCCTCCTCGTCCTCCTCCCTCTCCTCCTCCTCCTCCTCCTCCTCCTCCTCCTCCTCCTCCTCCTAACCTGATTTTGCTGCCCAGAGGCGAAGCTGATATCGACAGCTTGGATGAGATGGTGGAGATCCAGGGCCCGTGGAGGTCTTGGAGGTCCCGTGCGCTGCCGCGCCAGGAGCCACCTCTGACCCTCAGGAAATCATGGCTCAGAAGGTGCAGCGGTGGGCCCCGATATGGACAGACGACAGCGCGTCGCGCGATGCTATTTTGGACACGATGCAGCACCTCCACGCCCAGAGCCAGGTCGAGGCACTGCCGCAGCTCACTACTGATGATTTGGAGCCGTTGTGGTGCAAGCTGCCGAGCTCCAGGGCCAAGGGCGTCGACGTGCTTGGACCTACAGATCTGCAGAGGCTGCCGCTGGCAGCCAAGCAAGAGGTCGTCGCCATCCTCGATGCTGCGTAGGACGTTGGCTCGTGGCCGCTGCAGATGCTGCTGACGCTTTGCGCCACCTTACCCAAGCCAGTCGGTGGCGAGCGCATCATTGGTGTCCTCCCGAAGCTCATGGGCTTATGGTCACGTGCGCGATCGGGGGCCACGGACCGCTGGGCTGACAGCAAGAACGACTTCTAGGCCACCGCGGTGCGCAATTCGTCAGCGCTGCGAGCCGCCTTTTCAGCGGGCAGTCATGGATGAGGCTGCCCACGAGCTGGGCTTTGCAGTGGCAGTGTTGTTGCTCGATCTTGGAAACTATACGAAAACATCTCTCCTCATGCAGGTTGCGCTACCCAAGGTTACCCTGTCGCGAGTGTTGAAATCTCGGGCCATGGCCAGCGAATTTGTTTTTTTCCGACTCGGTCCTTGGTCGCGGGGTTGTCCACCGCAGTTTCGCTGGCTAATTTTTTCTTGGGACCCATCATGGACGAGGCCCGCAGGGTGATCGCCATGAATTAAGCCAAGGCCTTGTCAGCCATCTGGACTTTCGTTGACGACACTGTTGCTCGGTGCGAAGGTAGGAGGGCCGACGTTGTTAGCCAGATGTCGGGGCTCGCTGGCTCGTTTGTGCGGTCGTTCGCGGCTCAGGAGTTCCCGATCTCATCCAAGACCAAGTTTGTTGTCAACACTCCTGGGCTGGGACCCGAGCTTTTGAATCAGTTTTCTAGTCTAGGGGTGCCGGCATCGCTCGTCAAAATTGCTGTGGACATGGGGTGCGATGTGGCGGGGGGCCCTCGTCGTTCGCGCGCCAAACTCAACCAGCGTCTGAGCAAAGGCCGCTCCAGAGGTGTTCGTGTCAAGTAGCTTATGAAGCACGCATCTCTCGCCAAGGCATCCCAATGCCTGTGGCTGAAAGGGGCGTTGCCTCAGTCGGTGCATGGGCACCAAGCTATGGGACTTCCCCCATCGTCTACTCTTCAGTTGAGAAGGCAAGCGGCCCAAGCAGTTGCTGGTAAGGGCCCAGGGCGATGCCTCACCACCACTCTTGCGATTTGGTTCGGGGGCTAGGATCCTGGTATCAATCTGACGACCCGACTGGTCCGATCGTGCCTCGGCTTCTGGGACAAGTGCCCCTCCCTCCACCCTCGCATCGTGAAAGCCTGGCCACTGGTGGCCGCGCGTCTCGGGCACGACCCCAAGTTCCGGCGGCGGAAAGTCCGAGGGCCTATAGGGGCTGTGATCGCCACCTGGAAAGACGGGGGTTGGCGGCCGATTTTCCCCACGGAATGGCGTGGGCCTATAGAGGCAGACGCGTTTGGAACCTGGCAGTTTCCTCATATTGCCGCCGACCGTGACGCAGTCGATTTCGACATAGCGGAGTTAGTCAGCGATTTTGCTGAGGATCTCGGAGCCCAGTTTGGGCAGCAGGCGGCAAAACACGAGCACGGGGATGCGTTGGTCTCAGGTGCTGACGCGGCGGCCATTCGGCCCCAAATTCAGCGTCTCCTGAAACGGGAGGAATTCGATCTGATCGGTCAGTTGGTCACGGTTGCTGCTGGAGGCCAGCGGCCTCATCAGAGGCAGCGCGAGCTGGGCCCCCCACCTTCCCAGGCCCAAGGGAGGGGGTAGGGGAGGGGTCAAGCTACCCCTCCCCGCCCGCAAGCCGTCTCGCTCACTCCCACCCGCCCTCCCAACACATACGTAGCACCCGAGTCTGGCCCGAGCCTCAGCATATTCAGCAGTCGTTTTGGGATGGGCAGCTACTAGGGGCCAATCCGCCGCCTCCGCCGCCGCCGCCGCCGCCGTGCCGCCGCCCCCCGCTGCCAAACCGCCGCCGCCGCCGCTGCCGCTGCCGCCACCGCCGCCGCCGCCGCCGCCGCCCCCGCCGCCGCCGCCGCCGCCGCCGCCGCCGCAGCCCCCGCCACCGCCGCCGCAGCCGCCGCCGCCGCCAAGTGTACTCTGTACTGTGTTTTGACAGGGATGGTGTGGGGGGGGGGGGGGGCGCATCGGGTTGGCTGCGCCTGTTCCGAATTTGGAGGCAGAGTGTGTCTTGCATTTTTTATAAAGGGATGGTGGGGGGGGGGCGTCGGCATGGACCCTGGTTGGCCCCCAGTCGCCTGGGGGAGGGGGTGTTTATTAATAGGGAGCAGTGATTCAAGCTACCCACCCGCCCGCAAGCCGTCTAGCTCACCCCCACCCGCCCTCCCAACACACACGTAACAATTGGGAGTCATCATATTGCGTAAAAGCGCCGCAGACGCCACGGGTTCTATGTGCACCAGGCCCTGGAGGCCCAAGCGTGCCAGGCGCGCCAGGTGCGGCACGTGCTCGACGTGAGCCCAGTGTTCCACGTGGTCCAGCCGCGCCAGGTGCGCGAGCCACTGGCACCAGTAGGGGCTCCACCTCCGTACGCCGCAACTGCTCGTCGGCAACGGTAAGGCCCCCCCCTCTTTGGGGCTAACCCGCCTTCGGGGGCCTTCATAACAACCTCTTGGGGCCATCTTTGGGCCACCTTGGGGCGCTCTTGGGGCCGTCTCGGGGGCCTCGTGGGCACGGCTTGGAGCTTTCTTGGGCCATCCACCAGGAGGCCTCCCCTTTTGGGGGCCTGCCAAACTGCCTCTTAGCGCCCGTGTGGCGCCAACATGGGGCGTTCTTGGGCCAGCTTAGAAGCCTCTTGAGCCCGACTTTGGAGCTTTCCTGGCCAATTTTGGAACCATTTGCAGGTTTCGAAAGCCCATCGGAAACGATAAGGCGAAAAGGCAGCAGCGACTGATGTGTCAAACAAGTCGGTCGACCGCCTGCGCCCAGAAGGCAGGTGGGATCTGCTGGCACCCCAACCGTCCCTGTAAGACACTGATAAATGGTAGCAAAGCGGCCGCGCATGCTCCAAATGTGGAGCCAGAGTGCGTTCTGTATGGTTTTTGACAGGGATGGCGGGGGGGGCGGGCCCTCATGGAGTCGGCATGCTTCTGGGATGGATGCCGGCCGGATTGGGGAGGGGGTGTATAATAATAGGGAACAGTGATCAAGACACCCTCCTAGATAGCCGCCCGTCTAGCTCACTCCCATCCGCCCTCCCAGCACATAAGTAACACCCGAGACTGAGCATGTTCAGCGGTCGTCTCTGGATATACAGCTACTGGGAACCAAAACCGGCTCCATGCGCGCGACGCTGGGGCGAGGTGCGCCGCGCATGCCAGGCGCGCCACGCGCGCCAGGCACCCCTGGGGCCCGAGCGTACCAGGCACGCCTGGTTCGCCAGATGCGCCACGTGCTCCGCGTGCGCCAGGTGTGCCGCATACTCCAGCCGCGCGCCACGTTCGGGGCACGTGCAGAGTGTGTCAGGTGCGCCTGCGCACCTGACAGCTCACATCGGGAAACATGTCGGCCCCCACCATCCTTGTCGAAAACCAATGCCCGTCATTGTGTCTGGTGGGCCTGCGCACTGCGGGCCACTGGCCACCACCCCCGCCGTCCCTGTCAAATACCATGACAGTGAGCGCGGGATGGCCGCGCATGGTCCAGATTTGGCCGCGAGGTGCATTCTATATTGCTTTTGTCAGGAAGGGTAGCCCTGCGCGCAGTAGGCAATATGCTGCCACCCCGGGCTCGCGGGCCTCACGAACATGACTCAAGACTTTGCCCCAAAGTGGACCTTGTATTGTTTTTGTGACAGGGATGTTTGTGGGAGGCAGAGTGCGTTTTGTATTGTTTTTTGCCTGACTGGTGTGGGGTGGGAGGCTGCCGGTCGCCTGGGGGAGGGGGTGTATATTAACAGGGAAATTAACCCCTCCTCCGAGCAGCGGAAGGAGGGGGAGAGAAGACGAAATTTGTCAAACCACCTACGCTCAGAGAGCTGGTGGGATTCCCAGTTTCAGGATCAGAATTGGTGAGGGAGTCTCAAGCGGAACGCCCCGCCCGCCCTACTGACGCGACGGGGGTTGCAATCGCGAGGACTTATCTGCAAGTGCAAGGGGTGGAGGAAGGGAGGGCAAGGGCAGAGGGAGGCAGCGACGTGTTGCACCGAGCGCTCCAGCGAGCGAGGGTAAGGACAGAGGCGGAGGGAGGAGCCTCGGACTTCGATCCCGCCCCTGCTGCGTCGGCCTTCCCCCCTCTCTGGCAGGTGGAGCTCGGCCCCTGGCGCGGCATTGGGCCGCGCGCCTGGCTTGGCGGCGCGGCTGTCTTTGCGGCAGCGCCTCGGGCTGCGTTACCAGGACTCTGCTGGGAGCCTAGGACGGGGAGGAGGGGGGAGGGGAGGAGGAGGAGGAGGAGGAGGGAGAAGGAGGAGGAGGAGGAGGAGGAGGAGGAGGAGGAGGAGGAGGAGGAGGAGGAGGAGGAGGAGGGGGTGGTCACTGCGTAAGGCAATCAAGCCTCAAGCAGAGCAATATGCAGCACGACGACGCCGCCGACGACGACACGACGACGACGACGCCTACGACGACGATGACGACGACGACGCCACTGACGCCGCCGCCGACGACGACGACGACGGCGACGAGGTGCGCTTACGATGCACACCGAAGCGCGGACTTGGGAAAGGGCCCACCCTGCAAGGTATGGTACGCAGCATGTCGTCGAGCCGTGCTGCGGCCTCCCCCCGCAGCACAGCTTCCCCCCGGGAGCAGCAGCCAGATGTGTCGGGCTTGCTGAGCCCGGGTGAGGAATCTCGAAAGGAGGAGGAGGAATCCCGGAAGGAGGAGGAGGAGGAGGAGGAGGACAAGGGCCGTGCTTCCACCCCCTCCGTCGTGAAACACTTCTTGACCTCGGCACGCGTACGCTCATTCGCAAGGAGGGGGAAGAGGAGGAGGAGGAGGAGGAGGAGGAGGAGGAGGAGGAGGACTAGGGCCTTGCCCCCCCCCCCGTCGTGAACCACTTCTTAACCTCGGCACGTGCGCACACACAAACAAGCACACAGATACACACTCAAGGTGTCGAAGGCTCGCTCCGCCCTGACACCTTGGCCCGCGCGCGGGCCCGACTGGGGAGGGGGAGAGCACCATAGCCGCGGAGGCGCGAGAGGGCCGGCGGCCTGGAGGGTTAAGGGAGCAGACATGTGGATGTGAGCGTGTATATATACACACACGTAGCGAGGGAGAAGGAAAAAGAGGCAAGAAGGGAGGGGAGGGGAAGGGAGCAGGAAGGGAGGGGAAGGCAAGAAGGGAGGGTCAGGCATGGATATGTGGCCGCATGCATATATAGATACACACACGTAACGAGGAAGAGAAGGCAAGAACGCAACCATATAATTACTTCTATATCTGCAAAGGTCATACATATGTGTATATATAGATATGTACACACACACACACACCTATATACATACTTTAATATAAACCCGCAGCGACAGAAAATAGAGAGGCAGAGAGAGCGATAGAGATGGCGCTTTGGGGGTCATCTTGGAGCTCCCTTGCGCCCTCGCGGACCCGTTTTGAAGGCATCGTGCGCCGTCTTGGACGCTCTGACACCCGCAAGGACGAGAACGCGAGCATTGCTCAAACACCTGAGGAAGAGGAGGATGCCGCTTGGGGTACTCTTGGGCACTCGTGGGGGCCTCATGGGTACTTGCTGGGGGCCTCTTGAAGGCGTCTTGGAGGCCTCCTGGTGCCTCGTGGGGTCCCTTGGGAGCTGCGTGGGGGCCCTTTGGCCGTCTTAGGGCGACCCTGGTCCATTTGACGGCGTTGGATGCCGACTTGGGGGTCTTTCTGTACCGCGTTGAGGTCCTCTTGGGGCGCTTCAGGGCGTTCTTGGAGGCCGCCTTGGGCGTCTTGGAGGCCTCTTGGGCCGTCTTTGGGCTCTCTTGGGGTCGTCTTGGGAGCCTAGAGGGAGCCCATTGGGCTGCTGTGGGGCCATGTTGGAGGCCTCTTGGACGATCTTGGGGTTAATTGCGCCGTCTTGGGCAGTCGGAAGGCCGAAACGAGAGAGCATGCAGCATTCTTCGGAAACATGTGTGGAACATCAACAACTTTGGCTCCTTGGGGCCTTCCTGGATGACCTCTTGGATACTTTTTGGGCCGTCTTGGAGACATCTTTGGGTTCTCCTTGGGCAATTTTGAGGCCATCTTAGTCGGTTTGGGGTTCATCTTGGGCCGTCTTGGAGGCATCTTGCAACCATCTTGGGCTTCGTGGGGCCCCAACATGGTCTAAGAGGCCTGTTGAGGGCAACGGGCTGAGGGAGTGGGAGTATCCTGAATTGTTTTGGGCCTTCAGGTGGCTCTGTTGGGGGGGGTTCAGCCACTGCGGATTTGCAGGGAGGGTGTCGAATTTGATTCTATATAAGAATGGACTACGTTTATGTACAGACAGACTTGTATCGACACACGGGGTGCGGAATGAGTGAGGGAAGCGGGGGGGAAGTGGGAGAGGAGGGACACCTTGGCCGTCAGCGCCTCCGCGCAATAGCGGGCACGGAGGAGGGCAAGTGACCCCGCAGCCTCTCTGGCTGCCCCCGTCGCCTGCGGCCCCCGCGGCTCCTCCCGGCTCTCGGGCAGCCCGCAGGCTCCCGCCCCCGCCCGTCCGACGGGCCGTGTTCGGCATCGAGGGGCCCCCTGCCGGCCTGCGGGCCCCCGGCTCGTCTCTGCTGCCGGCCCCGGGGGCCCCCTGCCGCCGGGCCCCCCGGGCCGTCAGCAGAGAATATGGCTGGGGTGCAGCATGTCGGCCCCTGGGGGAGCGGCGGGGCGGCGGGGTCTGCGCACGTCCACCGTCCGGGGCCAGGCCCATATCCGGGCCCGGGGTCGGTGTCTGGTTACCCGTCGGTCTCGACTAGACGTAAGAGTGACCTTTCGCCGGAGTGACCTTTGGTGCGGGCCAAATGGGGTCCCCCGATCGCCGAACGCGAGGCGGCAGTGGCGTCTTGCGCGCTTCTGCTTGGCCCCCACGCGGCCCCCCAAAAGCCGCGCACCAAAGGTCACTCTTACCCAGGGTCACTCTTGCGTGTAGCCGACGGTCGTTGAACGTCGGTATTGCTGGATTCCCAGATCCCAGTATACTTCAAGCGCCTTCCCGCTTCAAGAATGGGCACGGTCTTGATGTGTGTTGGCGATTCCCTGGGAGGGCCTGCACCCAATCTACTTGGTCCGCCTTCCTACGTAATGTTTTTACCTACCTCTTCCGACTGACGGGCACGCTTCCCCGAGGGGAGGAGATGGAGAGGGGATGCGAGAGCTGCGCCCGCCCCTGCACCACTGGGGCTGCTGCCCTGGGGGGCGCAGCCCCCCCCCTCCAGCAGCCGACCTGCCGTGTCAACCCCGCCATGCAAGAGGAGGAGAACCGAAGAGGAGAGTCTGCAGGTGCTTGACGTGTGGGCTGAGGGGTCCCCAGAGACGTTCGGAAAGGGAGTAGGCCGAAGGGGGAGTAGGGCGAAGGCGGAGGAAGGCGAGGGGGGAGGAGGGCGAAAGGACGAGGAGGAGGACTAGAACTTGGGACAAGGAGGAGGAGGAGGAGGAACATAGCAGCGCAGGAGTGCCGAATGATATGAGGAGGATCGGAGGAGGATTGGAGAAGGACAGGAAGATATTAGGATGTAATGGTGGGAGGAGGAAGAAGAGAAGGAGAGAGGGAGGATCAGGCGGAGGAGGATGTGACTGATGATGATGATGATGATGATGATGATGATGATGATGATGATGATGATGATGGTGATGGTGATGGTGATGGTGATGGTGATGGTGATGATGATGATGATGATGATGCTGATGATGATGATGATGATGATGATGATGATGATGATGATGATGATGATGATGATGATGATGATGATGATGATGATGATGATGATGATGATGATGATGATGATGATGATGATGATGATGATGATGATGATGATGATGATGATGATGATGATGATGATGATGATGATGATGATGATGATGATGATGATGATGATGATGATGATGATGATGATGAGTGTGTGTGTGTGTGTGCGCGTGTGTGCGTCGCCTGCGCTGGCCGACGAAGCAGGGGCGGGTCTGAAACGACGCAGGCGAATGTTGGGGATTAAGGCCCCTACAACGGTTCATTTTTACTGAGGGAGCTGCCTCGTTGGAAGACAATTGTTTGACGACGCTGAAGCATGCCAAAATATTGTTCTCGGGATTCCAACGCCACGGATCAACCTGACTGTTGCGTCTTGACGATTCTGAATCGCACCAAAACGTCATCATTGGGACTTGAACACCGCGAATCAACATAACTTGTGCACCCTCATAAGCCTGAATCCTTCCAAACCACGATGTCTGGTGCGTTGATCATGGGATTACATGAAACTCTTGCAAATGGTTAAGACGAATGCACGCGGCGCTAAGGCGGGAGCCACATGTTGAAAAGGAACCGCCCCGAATCCGTGAAGCTCTTGCACATGTTTGAAACGAGTGCGCGCAGCGTTAATGCGAGAGCCACACTTTGAACACCACTCGCCCGCATCCATCCATGACACTCTTGCAAATGTGTAAGTCGAGTGCTCGCGGCGCGAAGGCGAGAGCCACACTTTGAAAACGGCTCGCCCTCAATCCGTGCTCTTGCAAATGTTTCAGACCAGCGCGCGCGGCGCTTAGGCGAAACCTACATTCTGAAAACGACCCGCCTTCCAGTTGTGAAAGTGTTGTCAAGGTTTACGCATCAGGGTCATACGTGGTGAGGAAGTCTCAGGCGAAACGCCCGGCCCGCCCTAAAAACTGGCCGCGGGGTGCGACGGGGAGAAGTTCTTTATAAGGGGGAGGGGGAGGAGGAGGAGGAGGAGGAGGAGGAGGAGGAGGAGGAGGAGGAGGAGGGGAGGAGGAAGAGGAGGGGGAGGATACTCAGGAGGATGAGGACGAGGAGGAGGAGGCGGAGGAGGACGAGGAGGAGGAGGAGGAGGAGGAGGAGAGGTTGGTTGGTGGTGCTCCCATGGAGCCGGCATTCGGGAGCTTCGGACGCAGCTCCCTGTCAGCATGGCGCCACGGCCTGGGGGGGCTCGGAAGCGTCCGTGCTACGACGGCCCTGGAAGCCAAGCCACCAGCGCAGGAGGGGGCGAGAGGGGAGCCCTCGGAGCTCCGACGGCGGAGACGAAACCCAGAGAAAACAAGGAGCCTCAGGCCCCAACGGCCGAAGGGCCCACAAGCAGGCCCCATGAGAAACAGGTTAGGATCAAAACCGACGCCGAAACAAACACGCCCCGACAGACTCCGACTCCCCACCCCCGACCAGGCGCGACGCGGGAGATGCAACTCAGGGACTCCCC